TATCTACAGATGTAAATATAGTTCGATCTACAAGTTGTCTGTGTTTCGGACTATAATTAAACTTAAGTGTCAAATGATTCTAAATCATAGTGTTAAAAATATCTTTTTCCCTCTCTGTGTCTTTCTTTCTCCCTCCTTATCAGTTATTTACCTCATATTGTATCATTTCAGTTATTACCTCATAGTTATTTCACTGGTTTTACCTCGGATGTTGACGGGAGTTGAACCTCGGACTTCGGTGTTGGGAGCCCGGTACGCTGACCACTGAGCCACTGCGACACGATAGCTCTGGTGCCGCAGTAACCTGGTGTGATGCCAAGGGTCCCGGCCCGTCGGCCTACTTGTCTAACTACAGTTTAACTACAGTTTCTCTGTAATTCAACTGTGGCAGTCTGGGGTTCCCTATCCTTGTCCGTTTTTTTTTCGTGAATAAACCCGTTTATAATTATAACGTCCTCTTCCCTGGTCGATATCACGAATAACAGAACTTCGCCTCTAGTAAAGCGATTCTTAACCGGGAAACAAAAATTTTGTTGGCGTTAGGGTGAGGTACTTGGGTAGCGACCCCGCTAAGGGGCATATTTCTGATGTACGCATACGGAGGAACCACCGGTTGTTTGGCAGGACTAAGAGGCAGGTAGGCCCTCGGAAGGGCGCGCCTAGGCTAGGCGACGTAAAACCCCACCGACCAAGGAATCGACAAACTCATCGCACAGGTGAAGCAACGAGGGAGTACTGTAGGGTTGCGACGGCCGGTAATGTTACCGGTAACGTTACCGGAAAAATTGGTAATTTACGGTAATTTACCAAAAGCTTGGTAACGTTGAAAAAAACGGTAATAATAACCCTACAAAATGAGTTAAAAACTCACTTTTCAGAAGCAAAAGTCACATTTCGAATAGTAAATATGACATATTATCACCTTTTTAGTCACTTTTTAGAGACCAGATAGCAAATTTGTCCTTATTCTGAAGTTTAAAAGCGTAGCTTTAGATAACGATTTTTATAGGTGCTACTTCTGGTAACTCTATATACAACTGATGTTGATGAGAACAAGATGAAAAACACAAATATTCCAATAAGTACAGCTAAGACCGGCTATTCCGTCACTTTTGAGGCAGTACACAAGAATTTCGATCGCCAAGGAATAGTATATTGCCAATTTTTCTGCTTCAAATTGAATTTTTCCAATTTTTCCAAAATTTCCGGTAAATTACGATTTTTACCGTAATTTACGGTAACATTGATTGTTACCGGTAATTTCGCAACCCTAGAGTACTGTCGCTAAAAAGACGGTCTGAGTGTACGTTGTCACATAAAGTCGACTTATATTTTAAGTGCAACATATGCACAGTTCAAAACTGTAAACTATATTTGCGGTTTTCAGTCTAAGATAACAACAGTCTGATTGAAACTTAACTGAAAAAATAACTGCTTTGATGAATTGCAGCAGTATTAAAATCGAAAGTATGGCAGTTTTATACTTGATAATTATGTTTAAGCGCAGTTTGTAACACTAAAATGAAATTCATTCGTAAGACTCAAATATCTGTTCTAAGACTGTACTTATAACTACAGTTTCAACTTGTAGAGCGCAATGCAGCCAACATTGTGAATGTAAAAGCAGTGTGACTGCTGTCATTATATAAATGGAATTACGGAACAATTAAGAGTTAAGAGATGCATAATGACTACAGTTAACCTATAGTTTCAGATAGTATATCGCAACTGCAGTTCGATGTCTACAGTTTTAACTGCAGTCATAATGCACATCCTTCCACGCGGGCGGGAGAGCGAGACGGAATGTTTGGTGGGGAAAGGAAAGAGAAAGAGAGGAAGAGAGACAGGCAGACAGGCAGAACGGAACGGAAGCGCAAAGAGAGAAACGTCGCAGTGCACCACCAGCCTGTCGCCCCCCTGGAGGGTTCAAGGGGAGGGGCCCAGATTTGTGCGCGCAAGTGCATCCGATTAGGGACGAGGGCATGAGCGGGGGTGGAGGCAGGGTCGAGGACAGGGTATGTTACTGGAACTCTTCCGGGCAAATTCTATAAGTCGACACGAATTCCTCCCCCCGGGGGGCTACGCACCTGGCTCGTCAGGCGTCTCGTCTCGAACGCCAAACTTTGCTGTAGGGGGGAGGGAAGGGCGGTAGGGAGGAAGGTACCCCTAGCCGACCAAACTCCATCCTGCTCCTTTTCCATTTCCCTTGCACGCCCCCGCGCACTCTGCCGGGCATGGGTCGGACACCAACCCGGCGAAGGTCAGGGGTCGTAGGGCTGAGAGGAGAAGGGGGGAGGAGGGGGCCATGTGTAGTGCCCCAACCCCGCGCGGTCGGGAGACGCCTCCGGGGGGACGCACGCGCGCTGTGTCCGGGTGCGTCAGAGTTTGGGAACGGGAGAAAGGGGGGGGGGGAGCTGAAAAAGTTCGGGACAGGTACGGAAGGTACATGTAGAGGGCTGGAGTTGCGTTCCTCCTCCCCCTCCCCCTGCAGCGTGCCTGGGGACGCGCCCGCCGACAGGCCCTGAGGGGGTCGCCGTGTGATAGGCACACCCGCCGCACACCAAACGCCTGCGAACCGTCGGATGGGCCACCCGCCTCACAGCGTAGCTCTGCGGGCGGCCGGGGGGTTGTGCGGCGCGTTGCCTATCCGGCAGTTCGCGGGCGTTTGGCGTCCGACCGACTGCCTATCGGACGGTTCGCGGGCGTCTGGTCGTGGTGTGCGGTGGGCTCGTCTAACTTGCACACCACAGGCGCTCGGCTCCGTTCAGGGCCGGGCCAAGCCCCCCCCCCTCTCTTTCATACCCCACCCCATATCACTTAGACCCCTTTCATGTTTAACGAGCAGGCAGAGTTTGTTCATCATTACTTCCGCCGTGCTCTCTTTTCCCGATTGGCCTGGGGGCGCCACCGCCCTCCGCTTGCTCCCCGAGCGCGTATTCCTGCGGGAGGGAAGGCGCGGGATGACGTCACGGGGATCGACCCCCCACCCCCACCCCCAAGCAACCCATCTGTAGCGTCGCCGCGTGTGGCACTTTTTACGATCCCCGTTAGAGGCGGGCAACTGGTGACAATGGCATATAAATGCACGCGGAAACTGGTGGAAACGAAAAACGCGTTGTTTTATTCCAGAAGGAGGGGGGGCAGAGAGACAGAGACAGACAGAGACAGAGATTTAATTTTTTGGTTATGAGTTTTTGGTTCTGAGGCTTACGTGAGAGTCGTGAGTAAAAGCTCAACATTATAAAAGTATAAGTCATCTGCTTTTAGGTTAGCCTTAACGTGTTCTCGTTTAATTTAATTGCCACCAGGTGGAGAATGCGAGTCCGCTGCGACCATGACGGACCGGGGCTGCTGCTGCTGTACGTTGGAGACGTGCGTGCGTCTGCAGGGGCTCATCGTGGGGGTGAGCACTGCCGACATGTGTACTGGTCGTTATGGGGCCCGTCAACTCGAGGGACAGTAACTTGCAGGAATAACGGCTTGTTGCAGATCATCTGCGTCGGCAATATGGCCCGCGTCACGTGGAAGGTGCTGAACGACGACGGCACGGCTGAGTCGGCCATACAACGCACATCCGCGGGAGCGTGTAAGCACTAAAATAGTAAATAGAATACATGCCAAAGCATTCGCTAAGAAGGCATGCCAAATAATTGTTTCGAAAGAGGACTGTTCGTTTCAGACTTGCCGCATATATATTCTTCATATTATTTTTGGCACGCGTTAAACTTGGCAAACATTTAACGACGTTTAAAAACAAACTTTTCAACGTTGTAGTCCTGGACGGTGCAGACTGCCTGGTGAACGGCCTGGGCGCCATGCTGCTGTTTGCCGCATCTCTGCTGCTGCTGCGCGGCGTGCGGCTGGTGAGTGAAGCGGAGGGATGTGAACAAGTGTGAAAGCGGGGGGAGGTGAAAAGGAGCGGTGAAAGTGGGTGAAGCGGAACTAAGCGGGCGAACTCCTCGTAAAGCAGAAGCCGCGAGTGCGTCGAGTCAAGGGGGTGCCCCGCTGATGGGGCGCTCGGCGCGAAGTGTTTATTTTAGGAGTCGCAGACCTTGGCAGTGACTGATCGGAATGAGGCCCGCTGGTGCATGCGCGGGCCCGGGGGAAGGAGGGGGAGGGTAGGGGGCAGAAACTTGCTTGCCGCTTTGGGTTTCATACTGTGGTTTTGGACTCACGCCGCCGCCGACACTGACGCCCGCCCGTGTTGTCCAGAAGCGGCCCTCGCTGATGCAGCCCTACCTGGTGTGCGCCGTGGCGGAGGCCGTGGCGCTCGCGCTCTTCGCCATCCTGTACGGCGTGGCCGTGGCGCAGTCGCTGCCGGAGCCGGACGAGCACCCGGACGTGGTCGTCATCAGCGTCGGCGAGGTCAGCGCCCTCGTGGTGTTCGTCATCTTGCTGCTCATCGGTGAGCTGACAACGAACCGAACGATTTCTGTGGAAAGTCCGTTTTCGGGACCCCATCTCATGTTGGGTCGATTTCGGTCGATAAATTTTACAGACAAAAAATAATCCAGTTTCTGTCCAAACCCCGTTTGGTTTTGTTCCCTTTCTCGGACCTGTGCTGCTGACATCTCTGCTTGTTCGCAGCGTTTCCGACGTACTGCCTCCTGAACGTATCCAGCCTCTACGACTACATGAAGTACGACGACTATCGTAGGGAGCATTTTTATTACATTGGAACTTGAGTTGTATTGCTCATAATTTTCACATTCCATCATGATTGTACAACATCGTATACATATCTACCCACATATTCTCCTGCCCATGCCGTAAGATTTGACAAGTCTATATTTTGTTAATGGCCGCCATAACAACCCAAAATGACTATTTTGTTAGTGACGTATTGATGCCCTTTACGTAGTTCGAATGAAAACAAGATTTACCGTAGGTAAAGTTTTAGACCTGATAACGTATTTTGCAGCCTTCTTGTCCGCGTTATAGAGTCCTGTCATGTAATAGTCTTTAAATCTTGTGAAAATGACGAATTTTCTGTGATTTTACGCCAGTCAATTTTAAGAGCCCACCCGCGTGACCATATTATTTATGTGTCAGTGGTTATCCCCCTAGTACGAAGGGTGGCGATACTCCGCGCCCTGATATACCCGCGCGTGGGGTGTACGCGACGCGCTGTCGATCGCTTCTTCCATGACACCCCCACCCCTCGCCCCACCCCCACCGACACCAACTTTTGTGTTCTGTTTATAGGATATTTTTTCAAATAAACGTTTGCTGCCAAATTAATGAGGAGATGACCGTGAGTCTTTAAAATGATTGGGTGTATTTTCTTTAAATCTCAAACGAGTCACCTCGTCAATTGTGACCCCATACTACCGAAATTAATTGTGTATGAACATCTTTGCTTTGATTAAAAGATTGGGTCTGCTTGCTGCTATGTATGTACCGGGCGTTTCAGCAGAGCGGACACTACAGTGTCGCGGGATTGCATACTCGCTAGAGCCTTACGAGCGAAGGGATTAGGCAAACCCAGAACACTGTGGTGTCCTCTCTGAAACACCCGGTGCACCATTGTACTGTGTGTTTAGTTTTAGTGCGTAGCTCGTCTCTTTGTGATATATGTGTATTATGGGGCCCGCTTTAAACCGTGTGGTATCCGTCCCCCAGCCTAGTCATTACTTAATTAGATGAAGGAAAAAATTAATCACTGTCTCACTACAACTTCTATTGCGGTTTTCATACCGGGGAAGTACATATGGCAATTACTTCTAGACATACATTTGTGTGGGGAATAAAGACCTAAAAAACGATTTGCGTTCTGAACTTTTTTTTTCTCAGCATGTCCAAACGCTGAATGTGCCTTCTTTTCGTCAACGCTTTGATAGCAAACACATTTTTTTTTTTTAAGAAGAGACTTTTTTTAAAACTCAGGGTTTTACACAAGAATGCCATTAGAGTGTATTTAGTGCATGGGCAGATTTGTTTAGAACCTTGTCAGAACAGAACTTAGGTGGTGGTGGGCGTTTTCTTACTCCGTCTGTATACACAAAGGGCCTGGGCGACAGGACAGGGGGCAGAGCGGGGAGGGGAGCAAGCGCGGCTGGCGGGACAGTCCGGGCCTGGCCGCCCTACAAGCCTGTTCACCACCCTGAGCCGATCCTGAGCACCAGGCAACCAGGCAGCCTACCCCGCCTGCCCCCGGCAGGTGCGAGGGGTCAACGTCAGGTCTGCAACTAGAATTGAACGTGTACACTAGCCCCCCACACCCCAGAAAACCTCCCATAAACATATAAAATTTAACCAACTTCAACACTGGAAAGACCTCGGAAGACCGACAGCGAGGACCCGAGGAAAACCAACGGGAGACAACCCTCGTCACTTTTGCACTTTTGCACAGCTCGCGAGAGGGTGTGTCGTACCGATATTTTTCGGAAATGTATTCCAAAACTGAAAAATCCAGTTGTCGATGGTAAGTAAAACAATTGGAACAGAGTCTTGACGTGAATTTGCCAGTGTTGTTGGCGTTTCTGCCGAAGGGTACCTCTGTCCCCACGAGTCGTGGTGTCAAACAGCCTGGAGAAGTGTTCGAGGCTGCGGCGCGTGGCGATCGCCTTCAAGCTCAACTGGAAGGAGTACAGCCGTAACTCGGTTCTGCGCTACCTGGTGGAGGAGCGGAGGCCACCAGCGGAAAAGTAAGTGGAGGTCCAAGTTGGCTGGCCGAGCACATTCAGTGGCACTTTTCCCCATAGCCACGTTCATCGAAAAAAAAGTTTACCTCTACGATTAAATCGGAGTAAATGACAAACTAAGTCATATTAACGACAAACCGGGACGACACTATAGGCCGCCTTGAAATGACTCATTTTAAACATATTTTTTGTCCTTGGTTGAGGTCGCCTCTATTCACTATGTTCATTATATGCTCTCTTCTCCCTTTGCAGAGCATTCTGGTCGCTCTGTCTCACGCTGACGCTTGCCCTGTGCATGTACCAGATGGGGAACCTCTACGACCAGTGGAAGAGCAATTCGGTCATCCTGCTGACCAGCACCTCACGCATGCCCTTGCACGAGCTCCCCTTCCCTGCGGTATCGATATGTCCGTCTGCCAAGACAAATTATACCCTTTTAAACTACACAGAGATGGAGCAGCTAACATCGAAGAAGGATTCCAAGAGCCTCAGCAAAGACGAGTAAGAAAATTAGGCATTGCCAGGGATTATTGGTAATCAGTGCTCACTCAAGTATCAGTATTTCTTTCTTACCATAGGAGGCTAAAGCTTTCAGTACTATCTGTTCTATGTGACATCGATATTTTGCCTGAAAAATTCAACATGCCCACAAATGAAGAATTTTTTAATTTTCTTAAAAGTGTAAGTCTGGTGTTTACAAAACAATGGGTTTGCTAAAGTGCCCCCCCCCCCCCCGAACGTTTCGCGAGGCAATGCTCGAGCTCAAGGTAGCGCCCCCAGCGCGCTGGGTAGGACAAACCTGCTAAACAGTTGGGGATGGTTGCCTAAGGTGTAATCTCCATTACACCTTACAGATGCCCGTCCTGAACACCCGCTCGGGGGAGTTGCATTATCTCGGATGTCGCGTTTCTTTTGGTGCAAGCGCCTTAATCAACCAAAAAATAGAAAAAAAAATATTTTTCCATTTGTTTGGTGTTATTTCAGTTTAATGAGTTCTTTTTTCTGTAGGTTGTGCCACACATGCAAGGCACGACGAAATGGGTTTGGTTTGGTGGCGACGATGATAACTGCCCTCCTCCCGTTCCAGTCCTGAGCAACGTCGGGGTCTGCTACACCTATAACTTGCTTCCCGCCGAGAGGCGGTATAGGCTGAAAATGTCAGTAGGTTATACCAGCCTTTTGTTGGCATAGGCGGCCGAGGTCTGTGGGGTTGCCTCCATTTAAAGATTCTGAGTAGTAAATCACCTATGCGAGGCTTCTCAGTAGAGACGATAAACGAGATGGGGTTGTATCCGCGCTCCTTTCTTCCTCTTGCTATTTCTTTCCTTTGGCATGGGGAGCATCGAAAAGCGCCGGGCCTACCTGCGCTAAGCTGACATGACAGGTCACTGGACGGGGCCGGTCCTTAAATGCACGCGCCGCAGGCCCGGACGATAAGCGCCGCGGCCATAGTCCCAAGCCACCCCTGCCCTTCCCTGCCACTTCACGGCCCAAATGATACGAAAAGCGCCGCGTGCATTGGAGTGCCTACCTAGCAGGCGGTTGGAAGGTGTCAGTGACTATGCACACAAGGTTGAAACCGTGTGAAGCTGAGCTAAATATGCGTCTTCGTTTGCCTGCGCGGCCTACCACGCCACTGAAGTCAAAATTAATGTTCATGTTAAACTGAAGTTTTATTCAAAGAACGCCTTTGAAGTCCCTATGCTGTCCTTGTGCCTACTCAGTGGTGACCTTGGTCTAAATAAACATGGTGTTTTCAACAAAAGGAAACCTAAATTAACAAACCTAACTCAATACAGTAAATCAGTTTTGATATTAGCTATGCATCTAATTGTCTATTTTCAAAACTAGAGTCAAGCCTAAACTGACAAACCTAATTCAATACAGTAAATCAGTTTAACGATATAATCGGTCAAAGTGTTTTTGGGTACCAGGGCCCGTCCACGGTACAAGCGAGTGCCAAGAGCGAGAGCCCCGGCCCCCGGCCTGCGACGGGCCGGGCTCCCCCAGGGCCGATCGTCGGGCGCGCGGCGCTTTTCGTACTTTTCGGGCCGGGTGCGGTCCCCTGGCCTCCGCATTTACGCGCTGGCCCCCACGGTTAATCCACCTCATAATCCGTGCACCAGGTAGGCACGGCGCTTTTTGAGTCCCCCCCCCCCTTAGTTGCACTGAAAATGCCAGATCTTACTCTCAGGAGAGTGAGATCAGTGACACAAAAAATTTTACTCTCCTGAGAGCGAGATATCTGACTTTCACTCAATTTGAGTCATAATTTGCGGTCCTCACACAATGAGAGTGAGGTTCCTCACTGCAATTGGGCGAAGTCAGGGAAATCTTACTCCTCCAGAGTAGAGAATTCGGTGCATATGACTCAAATAGGGTGAGCCTTATAGTCATCGCTTGATTGAGCGAGGCAAAATTGTCTCACTCATTTAGAGCACGACACCTCACTCAAAGGTTTTCAGTGTGTCCCACAAATAGTGCCTCACGCCCGACTCACGTCAGTCGCGCACTCAGGGTATTGATTCAGTGCTTCTGCTAATATGATTGAATTGGTAGGGGAGTCGCTCCTGTGATGGGAGGTGCGCTTGTTTTGTTCTTCCCGTTTTACAATTTCGCTTGTTCGGAAATAACCTTCAAAAGTGTTTAGTCGCTGAAGGAACTTTACTTTTAGAAATTTCGACGTGTCTTTGGACAGTGGTAGTCATCGCGAAAGTAAGCAGATGTACTGGGACGTGGACGAAGGCTACCCCGGACCTCCTCCTGGAGACGACAACACCAACAACAGCAACACCTGCCCACGCCGAGCCGCAGGTCGTATAGCACTCTCTGAGTGTTGAGAGTTTTAAATGTTAAGAACCTGTGTGTGTTTTTTTAAAGGGAGAACCGGAAGCCACTGCCTCTTCCAATATTTTGACATTACTTATTGACGTAAAAATGAATTTTCTGTCCTCTTTTGGACTGACGTTTTTTTTGCAGGTGGATTGCTCGGCGGGATCATGGCCGTCGTAACTGTGGCCCTACAGGAAGTCGACTTCTCCTGTGTGCCTAACCCGGACTTTACTGTAGGTAAAACCTTGTCAAATGGGCCACAACACTTTCACGTAATGGTCGGGTGACATAACTGACATAACTACCTGGCGGATGTTTGCTGCAGCTGGTGGTTCACAACGTCGCTGAGTTACCCTTTGTCGATCTCCGCACACAAGCACAGCTCCCCGCACAGGTAGGGGCTACCGCGCGGCGCTCTGTTCCAAAAAGATACACTGGAAAAAATATTTGTGGGAAAAATCCCACAAATGTACTTTACATATATACATTTGGAAAAAAAAGAAAGAAAAACAGAAAAAAAGGCTACGGCATTTTCTTTCCTGTGCGCAGAGCCTGTCCGACATCCCTTTGTCTGGGCAGCAGAGCTACTTGGTGCCCCACAGCAAGAGCACTACAGTGATCATGAAGCCCATTAGGGTCATATCGAACCCACGCCTCAGATCGTATAGTCCGGCGAGCCGAAACTGCTATTTCACAGGAGAGAAGGAACTGCACTTCTTTCGGGTATGGATTAGCCAAAAGCTGTGCAAAAGCGTCCCGGCGGCATATTCGTTGCACAGTATGCAGTTTGCACATCAAAATGCGCTTAACAGGTTACAGTACTAAAGGCGCGCATTGCGTACAGTACGTGTATTTAATGCGCAAATAATGTGGGGCGTATATTACTTACATTTATGGGCTTTGGTGCTATTAGGATTATTCTTTTATGTCCAGGTCTACACGCTACAGAATTGCCGATTGGAATGCTTAACGAATCTTACGTGGCAGATGTGCAACTGCACAGCATTCTACCAACCGCGTAAGTTGCCCAAAAATGAGTCCAGAAGATATGCCGCTTTTGTGTTCTCCACAAATCGAACTGTAGTACAAGATTTTAGTTTTAAATTCTAGACTAAAGAGTTGTACAACTGCAATGCTCTGATAAAAAAAAACGAACTCTGAAAATTTAATTTTGTTTGTGGTTCCCTAGAAATCGAGGGCGTACAGGTGTGTTATAGTACGAAGAAGATAACCTGCTCAAATAGCATAGAGGGGAAATACAAAGGTAGGAAATGCTAGCAGCTTTCTTGAATATTCAATTAGTTCACCATTCTAACTTCTTCTAGAGCTGTGTGAATCGAGGTTTTTTCCGTCAAATCGAATCACAAAAATTTCCTTCGCTTTAAATCGAATTGAGTTGGCTCAAAAGTTCCGAACCGAATTGAATCGAACTAGTCAAATTCTAGCCCAAATCGATTTGAAAAAAAACAACAAAAAACACACACAAAGTAACACAGTTGTTTCATGCACACTTTCCGCGGTATTCCGTAGAAGTACGACGACGGTTGCGAGTGTAGTGCTGGCATACTTGATCCCGATGATATCGCTCTTTTCTCGTTTGCCAGACACTGACTGCAACTGCCTACCCGGCTGCAACAGTCTGCAGTACGACACAAGGTCCATCCAGTCGGATATCGTGAGAGACGACGATGACGATGAACCTTATCTGTACGGGATTGTGAAGCTTGTATTCTCGGATTTGGATTACAGTCCGTATGTGAGGGAGGCCCGAATAAGTTCCTTGGAGTTTCTTGGTGAGTCCTGAGTTTCTATGGTCAGTGTCGCCGATGGCCGTGACTTCTGGGGGCCTGCTCAGGAACCAGGCCGGCGAACGAACAGGCGGTGAACGCGTGAACGAACGGGTGCGGGGAACGAACGGGCCCATTGGCCCTTATGGCGCGTTCGACGCTCCCGTTCGCTCATCCACCTCGTCCGTTCGTTTGTTCTATTCTATCACTTTGTTCCTGAGCACCCCTCCTGAAGGCGATTTATCCCCCTCCCACTTCGTCGCAGCGAACTGCGGTGGCCTGCTGTCGCTCGTCAGTGGCTTCAGCCTCATCAGCTTCTTCGAGCTCCTGTACTTTCTGTGTGTCCGCAAGCGCACCCAGGATGATGGGGAGGCAGCCAGGACCCCGGGCCCATCTGCCGAGCTGAGGCATAGACGAGGGCTGGACGACTTGGAGTACACAGTAACACAGTTGGAGTACGCGCAGTACAGTCGGAGTATGACCCGTGCACACTCGGAGTCCCCGAAGTACATCCGGAGTACACGCAGAGTGCACCCACAAACCGTATTTCCGACGGGTTCTTGAACGCCGCGTATTTGGGCATCCAAAGTAACATGCGTGTGCTCTGCGGGCTGGTCTAACTAACTATAGCAAGACGCGTTGATCTCTGTACGCCACCTCTTGGCATAAACTGGCCATACTCGCGAACATGAAAAGATTATACTCAGTCTGGGAGGTCGCGTGCGCGAGCAGTTCGCCGTGGTCGCAAACCGCTCACCGCTTTCAGCTCAGGCGAGGCTCAACATAACCCGTCATTACCCGCTTAAAAATGCATCGAGTTGCGGATCACGGTCGAAGGTGTGTTACGTGCTCAACTCTTCACCTCACCACCATGCGCCTCTGCTGTTGTTCGTTGTAGACCAATGTAGGCTAGTTCCACTTTGAATTCACAGTCTCCTTAAGTGTGGATTCAGAGTTCACGAAACGCAAGCGTTATTTTCACGCCAGGCGTGATTTTCACGCTTCGTAAGCTTCACGCAGCCAATCAGGGATCGACTTTCATCACGCCGGGCGTGAAAATCACGCTTTGCATGAGAATCACGCTCTCTTTTAGGGAACTCTGAATCCACCTTAATAATGCAATTCATAATCTAGCATGAAAAATAGCGCACCACAAATCCCGTCATATTTGTTGATATTTGTCATCTAGTGCACGGGTGAGCTAAGGGGCGGTTCGTGTACACAACACATACGTGTTATGTTATGATAATAAGAGAATGAATAAACATTGAGCGCTCTCTAATCTATGTATTTATTCCTGTTTCACCTTTTAACTGACATCATGTTGTCAACATCCTAGGTCTGGTCGGCGCCCTTTCTCCGTGCCGCGCGTATCGTCTGTAGTGCACTGTAGCTCCGGTTCAATACCTGAAATGAGAACATTATCGTTTGCACGCAAAATTCCTTTGGGACTGGGTGACTTTTGCTCAAACGATACATTTAATTTTAACTCAGACTCAAACATTTTTCTTTTCTTTATCAAACAATGATTTTAAGAAGTACAACAAGTGGTTGCCGCCCCTAGAGTGTAACGCTCTGCCGGCTGCATCCCCTTATTGTGTCTGGTGCGGGTGTCTTTGAAAACGTTCCCCCGCGAACCCCCTGGGGAGCCCAGGGTGGGCCACTGGCTCCACGCGGCCGCTTGGCGGGTCGGCCTACCCCGCGCGTCGCAGGCGCCCGGCCGGTCACTAATTCCCTGCGCGCCGTCCGCCGGAGCTCGTCACCCGTCACAGGTCGGCCGAGCAGGGTACCTAGGACTGTTTGATTACGGCGCGTGGCAGGGCCCGTTTTGTGATCCAAAATCGAAAAGTCACTGTACACCCTGAACTTTTCACCTCTCCTTTTCCGGAAAAGGTTGGTGGCAGTG